TAGGTCTGTTAACAGATGCTGAAGTAATAACCATGATAGCATCTTTTGTTGCCCTGCCTTCCATAGGAGTCCATGCTGAAAAGGCAGTACGAAAATTAGCTTGCAAGGTGGTCAAAGGGTTAAATGCTACCTCATCAGCCTTGGCATTAATTAACCAAGAGTTACAGGAACAGAGACAGGCAATCTTAGATAATAGAACAGCAATAGACTATTTGTTGCTCCTCCACCACCAAGGTTGTGAAAGAGTAAAAAATATGTGTTGTTTCAATCTTAGCGATAATGGTCCAAAGGTAGAAGAAAAGGTAAAACAATTAGAAGATCTGGCTAAAAAAATATATAATGAGGACGGCGGGGACTTGTTCAAATGGTTAACTTAGTGGTTGTCCGACCTACAATGGTTAAAACAACTTTTTCTTGTCATCATAGTTGTGTGTACATACTTATTATTGTCATGTTGTTGTATACAATGGATACCTACATTTGTACATAAGATTACTTAAGTTCCAAAAATCAGTGGGGAATGTGGGACTGCATAACCTTTGTTCCTTTTCTCCAGCCCCATTGTGATTAAATGTGAGTTAATGGATAAAGATGCTTGTTAGTTTGGGGACACTAGATAAAAATCTGTAACAGACCTAAAGTCCCAAAGTAAACTACTCAACTCCTTGTTTGCCCGGAACTAATGTTCCGGACACCACAATCTATAGAACAAGCTGCAAATGTCTGCTGACCATCAATACGTGACAGTCGACCATTAACCTTTGTCCCTTTTCTTCAATTCTATATGTTAACTTCCCCCTCAACCCCCTGTAAGAACAGCCTCGGACTCTGAGCCAGTTGCCTCTCTAAGCTATTTTGCTTTGGGAGTGCCGTCTGGCCAGACTAAGGTCTGTTTTACTTTCCAACTTGTCCGGTATGTTCCTTCCTGGGTGTTCGTCGCTGCAGTCAGCTCCTTGGAGCGTTTGGTAAGGCCCTCGGTCTTACAACCCAACCCAATAAACCCCACGTCTCACTGTACCTACGCAGATAAAATGATACGAACAGTGCTCACTCTGTCATCAAAGGAACACTCAACTTTCCTGTCTTCTGCACCTAAGATATCTGGGACCTGTCTCGGCTTAATGGAGATAAAAGTTTTTGAGCCCAGTACTTGAGGCTGAGGCAGGAGGATCTCAGTGAGCTTGAGGGCAGCCTGACCCTGTCACAGAAAGCCAAAGTAAAAACTGTTTTCATCCAAAAGTGCTAATAAGGGTGGGGAAGCAAGGAAGGGCTCACCTGTCTGAAAACACTGGTAAGGCCCACACCCACCAACTGCACCGTATAGGACAGCATTTTCCTCTCAGATCAGGAAAACTAGCACAGCACTGCAAAAGCACTTGGTGGCAAGGGTATTAAAGTTTGCTTTTAAAAAGCATAAGGTCTCCCCCTAAAGGTTCTAGTCAGGCAGAAGAGACACACTAAGAATCAACACAGGGCCAAGCTTTAACAAGCAGCGGACGGAGCAGCAGTAAGCGAGGGAGAGCCGGCAACCCCGCTGGCCGTCCGAGCAGCGTGCACGGAAATCCCAAGATCTCGCACAGCCACCCACCACACACCGACCCTCGGAAAGACAGAAAGACAGGCGGTGGGAGCCGGGCTCAACCCCTGACCCCGCACGCAACCACCACGGCTCGGCAGACAGCCGGGCAGCAGTTCCGCAGGAGGTCAAAGCTGCTGCGTTCACACACCGCCTCCACGGGCTCGGAAGCACATGTTCATCACAGCCGGGCTGACAGGAGCCAGCGTGGAAGTGGCCAAGTCTGCCAGCTAAAATGAGGGAATGAATAAAAGGTGGCAAAGCAGGCGCAGAGGCACAGCCCGCAATCCCAGCACTCGGGAGGTCGAGGCAGGAAGAGCACCATGAGACCCAGGCCCACCTGGGCAATACAGTGAGCTCCAAGCCAGCCTGGACTGCAGGGCAAGCCCCAGTCTCAAAAAACCAAAAAGTAAATAAAGGGTGGAATACTCACACAACAGACCACCATTCTGCCATGAAACAAAAGAAAGCACACAAGTGCTCTGTGGGACTGCGTAACTCTGTAATCATAAAACTCCCCTAGCCCCAACTGTGACTGAATGTGAGCAAATAGATAAAGATGCTTCTTAGTTCCGGGACACTAGGTAAGATCTATATCAGCCATAATTATTCAACTCTGTTCGAAAACTGATGTTCCAGGACACCACTTTCTATAGAACAATCTACAAAACATCTGCTGACCATCAGTACATGTCAGGCTAATTAACATACAAATGTAAGACCACTAACCTTTGTTCCCTCTTCTGTAAATTTCGCCTGTTAACCTCCCTGCAACCCCCTGTAGAAAGAGCCTCGGACTCTGGGCTGGACTCTGGGCTGATCGCCTCTCTAAGCTACTTTGCTTTGGGAGTGCCATATGGCCAGACTAAGGTCTGTTTCACTTTCCAACTTGTCCGGTGTGTTCCTTCCCGGGTGTTCTTCGCTGCTGCAGTCAGCTCCTCGGAGCGTTTGGTAAGGCCCTTGGTCTTACATTCTGGAGGCACCACTGGGATCCCTGGGTGTGCTTCACTACAGTCAGCTCCTTGGAGCGTTTGGTAAGGCCCCTGGTCTTACATGCTCCAACATGGAGGAACCGTGAATGCTGTGAGCTCGGCGAAGGACATGAGGCAGAAAACCTCGGCGCCAGACGGGGGCTGCCTGAGGTGCTGCACAACCCGTGCACCTAAGATGCCCAGTGGCATGCTCGTAACGGGCATCTCCATGCTGAGACAGAAAGGGACGTAAGACAGGCACTCCGGGCGAGAAGAGAGGGCGCTGTTCTGATGCGGGAAAGCGACAGGCTCCCCAGGTGACTGCACAGGGCCGCACGCCCCCCCCCCCCCCCCCACCGGGCGCACTGGGCTCTGGAACACAGCCTCGCCAGTGCAGAAGGCACCGCATTCGCACGGGGCCCATCGCTGCACAGCAAAGCGGGCATCGGGGCAGACTCCCCTTCCCTTCCCGCTGCCATGAAGGCGACCGTTTAAACCCCTCAGAAACCTGCAGCAGGGGCCGGGGATTTAGCTCAGTGGTGCTGCTGCCTGCCTCACAAGCACAGGGTCCTGAGTTCGATCCCTGGTACCAAAAAGAAAGAAACCTGCAGCACAGCCCAGACAGCATGCCCTTTACAGACCTCGGGACAACTGCTGGACTCAAGACAGTGCCCAGTCCTCTTAGCGAGCTGGTCATCACCAGGAAAACAAATGGCCAGGAAGGACAGGGGCCAGAGGAAAGGCACACCTATGCAGGGAGAGTCTGGACGCAAGCTCTGAAGGGTTCGCGACTTCCCCAGATTACATTCTCAGCCCCTGGACCCTGAAAACACTTTGTAAATCAACATGAAGATCTGGCTATGAATTAAAGAATAACCCATCACTGAATCTAAGCCTAAAAGACTCCGAATGCCCTCCCATCATTTCCCATGAAACGTAACGCCGACAACCACTCACTCACATCTGCCGCATACCCGCATACCCCTTAGACTAAACTGGGAACCTGGCTAACTTCCTCATCCAAGGGCCAGGCAAGAGGTATTGGCAGGCTTTGCAAGCCACACAGCTGTCACACCTTCTTCTTCCGTTCCTTTAAACAACACACTAAAAACTTAAGCAGCATGGTCATTCTGCAGGCTGTCCAGGCTCATGGTGCCGGCCTTCCCTGCCCTCAACTAGTGGCAGAGAACGAAGCACACTGACCAAAGAAAGGCCTGCAGCCATCCACACTGCATCTTCCTCGACGTGAAAAGTCATCCGTGGTTATTGGCACACAGGATCTGAATATGAAGACGGATAAGCGGGCGGGCAACTCTCTTCTTACCTAATGACTGGAAGAACACCGAGTATCGACATTCGTAGAGTGAAAACAGATACTGCCGGACTGCCGGGAGGCTGTGCAGCACTTCCAGAATCTCCGCTCCTTTAATGACCTAGAGTTCAAACAAACAAGACAATAAGTCACTCACAGGAGGTTATAAAGCATGGCTTCTCTAAAGAGACGAAACCACCAGGTAAGGGACCCAAGTTAACAAACAGGCAGGCGGCCCCTGTGAGACTGGGCGCAGGACCAAGATGCACTGTGTATACAGCAATCCCCAAGATGCGTGATCACTATGGACCACACACACATGATAACAGATTTTTTAAAAAACTGCCATTTTCTAAAAAATAAGCTTACACTTTCATGGTGTGCATGTGGTGGAGGGGCTAAAGCTCGGAGCAGTCCTTTAACTATGAATCACAAAGGTTCAACTGTTACCTTTTCCCTGAGATCTGGTCTTTCCAGGGCAATCATGCTGACATAGACAGTGTAAGTCACAAACGTCTTGTAATCCATAAGCTCATAGGATGTAAATGTTGAAACAGTGTCCAGAAAGAGCTCGGCTGCCTGTTTGAAGTCACGGATAGCCACACAGTAGAGACCCTGGTACACTTTCAGGCGGTTCCTCCTGTCCCAGTCTCCTCCTTCCTCTATTAAGCTATCAACAAAAACAATGAGCTCAAAATCTAGGGACAGACAATGCCACTTTTTAAAATTTTTCACAGAAAACTTTTAACAACTTGACCAAAAAGAAATAAAATATTTCACTGAACTTTATCAATTATCTGACCAAACTTAAGAGCTGTAAACAAAACAAAACAGGCAAATCAGTTTCTCCCTGACAGCACCATATTTTAGGGGGGAGAAATCCCCATTACTAAAAAATACCTTTTGGCCTTTTCTGTGTTCCGGGTGATGAGATCACTGTCCATGTAAAACAGACCAATTCTAAGGAGATAGAACACAATATCCAGCCTGTGGCCCAGGGCCACTGTCTTGTCGTAAGTCTTCCGAAAGGCCGTCAGAGCTCCCTCCTGTCAAGAAAGCCAAGAAGACAGGTGAAGACAGTCCGCAGCTGCTGTCTGGGGTTTTCTGTGAAGGGCTGGGAAGACAGCAGCAGAGACAAAACACATGGCCACGAACTGATGACTGTTCTTTCCGCTTAGTAAAGAAATGCCTGGCATGGCCGGGGATTTAGCTCAGTGGTTTCGCCACCTGCTGCACAAGCTCAAGGACCCAAGTTCAATCCCCAGTACCAAAAAAAACACAAATGCCTGGCATTTGCTTATATTCTAAAAAACAATGAGAAACATTGATAATTTACTCGCAATTGTAAAGTAGTCCCTGTCTAATATATTCAATGGTTTTTGGAATACACTATTTCCAAATAACTGTTGTAAATTACCAATCATCATTTTAATCTTATCTCAGTCAGTGATTCTTAGACTACAACTAAATATGTAAATACACGTTTCTATCTCAAAGCATAGTGTAATAAAAAGATCCTACTGTCTTACTCAGAACACGAATAAAATCATTTGTTTACACGTAGTACTTCTCAGCACTGTCTTGGTTGGTTTGTTTATTCTTTGTTTCTGTGAGGCAGATCTTGCTGTGAAATCCAGGCTGGACTTGAACATGATCCTCCTACCTCAGGAGCTGGGATTCTTGTCACTGCACCCGGCTTAATTTATTTTATGTAATTAGTTATGTTTCAGATCTTGTGATGAAAGTACTATCCACCACTAAAAGAGACCAGAGATCCCAGGAGACAGGGAAGATTTCAAGTTTGGAAAGTAAAAATAACACGTGAGTTTGTGACATCATGTTGTATCAAAAAATAAGGAAGATCTATAAGATCCTGTCAAAAGGACAAAGAAACTCTCTTGAAGAAGCTTCTACTAACTAGTTTGCAATAAACTGAGATAAAGAATAAAAACTATAATCAGTGGTAACACAGTAATAAAAGCCCACTCAGGGCTGGGGATTTAGCTCAGTGGCACCATGCCTGCCTTGAAAGCACAAGGTCCTGGTAAACAGGGAAAAAAGAATCATTCTTTTTGGAAAAATGTTATTAACCACTTAGCAGTTCAACTATTTTAAATAGAGAATGACCAAAAATTGCAATTTTTTGTTCATTTTTATAAGCTAACATAAATATAAAAATGACAGTTATCAAATTTATTTGATACAAGAACTGATTGGTTGAAATGACACCTGCCCGAGTGACGCTCAGGTGGGTCAGTGTGTAAACAAGTGGGTGAACTGTGAAGTGGACAAACACAGAGGAGCACAGGATTAAACAGCCATTCACAGCTTCCCCATGTTGACGAGAACGTGTCCTTGTTGAAATTCAAGCCTAAATCAAAAGCCTGACATTTGCCATTCACATGATTCCCTACTCTTGAAACCAAGTCATACTCATATACAGCCTAAAAGTAAAGGCAGGCAGATTAATAATTTCACTTTCCTGTATTTCCCAAATCTTGACAGTGATCTTCTTCAAGTTGTAATTACAGAAAAAAACTTGCTTTAAATTGAAGTAACAACGTTTAAACACTTGTCTGTGCAAAAGCATAAGCCTCACCTCTTTGCCTTCATGTTTGTCGTCATTAAGTGGAAACTAGCGTTATCCCTGTTTGACAGATCAGGAAACTGAAGGTTCTGTAAACCACGATTACTCAGGCTGGAAATAAACAGGTAATCCAATCCAACAACCTACACTATTTAATTTTGTGTACTGACACCCTATCATCCTACATCTACATAAAGATAACCACTTAAAATTAAGACTATTTAATGTCCATCCTCTTAACTATTACACAACTAAATTTAAAATTTTAAAGATCCAGGACTCCTGTAATTCCAGCACACAGGAGGCAAAGGCAGCAGGGTCACTGTGAGTTTGAGGCCAGCCTGGGCTACATAGCGAGACCCTGTCAAAAACAAAACTCCCAGACTGGTGAATGTCACACAAAACAGCTGACCACACTTGTTAAAACAAAAGCTGCTCATCACCCTCCACAGTTCATTTCACAGGTAATCTGTACCCTAGAAAAATACTAGCACACGCACATAGGAAGACATACTCACGCTTTTTTGCAGCAGCAGTTAAAGCACCAACAGCCCAAACAACATTCATATCCATCAACAGCTGGAGAACTATAGAGGACATATACACACGTATCCTACAGAAGGCATATTCTACACTGGAATATTAACAAGGCAGCAGTTAACCAGAATGGGCAAGATTTTCATGTGCTGACATGGGAAGTCCTCTCAGATACAACGCCAGGTACACACAATAAACGGGACCACATGAGCACAGTATGATTCTGGGCACGTTTAAGAGTTTTTTAATCCTATCCATTTTCTTCAGGACATATACACACATACAGGCACAAAAAAAGAACTAAAGAAGTTACCCTCAGACAAAAGGAGGAAAGATCGACTTCAACATTTGTTTTAGGTGCTTCAAAGAAGAACACTGCTACCGTAAGTTTTTAAAATGCACCACAACCAGAGCTTCCCAGGAAGAAACGGAAGTGACCTACTGAGAATGATCCCAGTTTTGCAAACGCAGGAAGTGGATAAAACGCTCCGCCTGTGCTAGCGCTTTTAAGGAGAAGGCGCAGGACCACCTGGCTGTGGCCTAAAGCGGCGGTCGGGGCCCCAGGAGGCGACTGCCGACTACTTCTTTACTACGCCCGCCGCCCGCCGGAGGTCACCGACGCGACGCCGGCGCCCGGCCCGCTCACCTTGTCACCTATCCGGCAGAGGTACTCGGCCCTCGCCATCATGGCGTCTCGGATCTCGCTCTCCCCCAGGTTCTTCTCCGCATCCTCCAGCTCCTCGTCCAAGCGCTTCAACTCTTCTTCGTTCGCCTTCTTCATCTTGCCGACCAGGTCCACGTCCACCTGCCAGTCCAGTGACTTGCACAAGGCCTCGTAGTACGGCGCCATGTCTGGAAAGAAAGGCAGGGCCGTCCGGGAGGCCGCCCGCCCTCCGCGTCCCGCGTCCCGCGTCCCCTCGGCGGGGTCTCCAGCGGGACAGCCTGGGGTCCGGGCGCCCTCGTGGGCCGGGAGGCCGAGGCCGAGGCCGAGACCCGCCCGCCCGACGCCCAGGCCGCGGACCCGCGCTCACCGTTGTCGCGCACGGCCGCCATCAGCTCGGCGCGCACCGCCGCGTCCCCGCGGTGCTCCGGCAGGCTCAGCAGGAAGCGCAGCTGCGCGATGCGCAGGTCGGGGTTCTTGGGCAGCCCCTCCTCCTCCAGGTTCTCCAGCGGCATCGCGGCGGCGACGGCGACCAGGCGAGGCAGACAGCGAGCGGCTCCCCACCGGCGGCACCGGAAGCGGGAGGAGTCGGCGAGGGCTCCCGGCCACCTCCGGCCCAGCTTCCGGTCGCTCCCCGGCCGCCGCCGCCGGCAGCGTCCCCTGCTGGACACTGCCGGAATCGCCTCCTGCCGGCCGGGGTGCCTACGCCCCCGTGTGGCCACCAGCGGTTTCACCTCGCCCAAGGCGCTGCGCGGCCCCAGAGCGACCAACTTCAAAGTCGGGGTTCTAGAACCTATTTTTAGCTATTTCTCACTTGTCATTACGTTAGTAATTCATAGGAGCTGGCAAGCTTTTAAAATGTTGAAGATAGAATCAGTGTAATAGCAACGATAAAAACAGCCGCCACAATTGGCAAGTCCCCTTATTTTAATTCTCTCAAAGCCCTTAGGAAGTCGCACCATTAGCCCATTTTGTAACTAGGAAAACCCAGACACCAAGAGGTTTGCGTGTCTATGCGACAGCCACATGGCGGGGCCAAATAAAAACCCTCTCAGTGGCGGGGGGTTTGGCTCAGTGGTCCTGCCTCCTGCTGTGCGAGCGCAAGGACCCGAGTTCGATCCCCAGTACCAGAAAAAAAAAAAAACCCTCTCCATAGCTCTGAGATCCAACTCTCCCCGCACCCAGGAAGGAAGCAGCAGAATTCCACAGCTTTAACCCACAGCGTCCCCATGTCCTGGCACAAGGCCCTTCTCGCCAGGATTTTTAGGCCCGTTAACGGTCCCTGCTGGTCCAGAGGCTTCGGCACCAGGAATGGTCCCATAAAGCCCCATCTAACAAACCAAGCAAAATTTACTTTTACCCTTCCCTCCATTAGGAGGGACCTCGGGTGAGCCGCTGTTCTTATTTTCCTCCTATGAAGACCTTTGCACCAGGAATCATTTTACATTTTGAGGGGGGTTTTTCTTAGCATGAGTTTCCATGCAGGAATAGTACACAAAGGAAGAAAGAGTTTTGTGATTTTGGAGTATTTCCTGTCAAATTGTTACCCAAAGGGGTAGAATCAGCCACTGAAATAGCTGGGAATCCCACATCTCACAGGCACTAAGCATTGCTACATTTTAAAATATATGATTTTGTAAAAAATCAAGTAAGCATCTTGAAGATAATTCAAATGACAGAAAAATATAAAGAACAAAGAAAAAATAACTTGCACTCCACCACTGTTGAACTTTGGTGAAGAATTTTCTAAATGTCTCTCATTTATTAATTCAGCAAACATGATAGCGTGATTACAAACTACCAGGCACTAATTCAGGCACCAGAGATACAGTAACAAAGACTCAAAGCCTATGTCTTGGGAAATCACCTTTAAGAAGCAGCTTCATAAAAAGTCACCTAGCTATATTAACAGGAGCATTCCACACGTGAACTAAATTTTTAAATTATTTTGTTTATTCCACCGTGTTCTGCGATCATCTTGCCATCTCAATAAATATAGACTCACCTATAGGATGCCACTATGTTAGGTGTCAACATTTTACCCATCTATGTTCGTGATGCTCAATCTTGATTGTTAACTCAATTGGCTTGAGAGAAGCCTGGCAGATTAATAAAGCACATTTCTAGGTGTGTCTGATGGGTCATGGGCTGTGACCTAGGGACTGTATCTGGCCCCGGGTCTCCTCTGTGGCTCTTCCTCTGGTCTCTGCTTCCAGCCACCACAAACAGTGAGCAACTTTGCTGTGCTACGTCCTTCTGCTATGATGCTCCAGCCTTGGAGCTGGCTACCATGGACTGAACCCTCTGAAACCATGAGCCAAATTAAACCTCTCTTCCTGAAAGGTTCAGGTGTCAGGTTTTCTGTCCCAGCAATGGGAAATCTCATTAATCAACCCTTAAATTGGATCTTGTTGATTTTTTTTACTCTTAGGAACACTGCAGTGGTAATTACCTATGTGCATCTGTATTTTCATACTTGAGTAATTATTTCTTAAGAAGTGCAGTTGCTAAATAAGAGGGCATTAACATTTTGAATGTTGATGTATTCTGCAAGGATTATACAGTTTATTTTTTCATAAATGATGTATCTGTTTACATGTCCACCAATATTGAACAGATAGAGGGCCCATAGGGGAGAAAGAGTAATATTCTTCCCTCACTCACTTCGTGGTTTATGGCTTATGCACCTGTAATAAAAGACAGATGAACAGGAGCAAAGCAAGCAGATTTGCTCAAGGTAAGTTCCACAGGAGTGACAGGAAGCCCTGTGCGTGTTCATGACGATTCTGAAAAGAAAGGCAGTGATGCACTAGCATCACTGCACCCAGGGGACTCGACCCAGTAGTACTGAGTGAGGGGACCTTGCAGGGCACCTTCTGGGCATCCGTACTCAGCAGTAAGGATCGACTTAGAGCCTACTTTAGGGGAGAAAGGTGAGAGGAAATGACAGTCACCTTCCTGCATCTGCAGCTTTCTCCGATGACAAAGGGCTCTATTTGGGGCAGCACATCCTGAACCCCATGAAGCTCGTCTCCCCTTGTCTTAAGTTACTTTTCTTGTTGCTGAGACAAAATACTGAATGCTCTCACAAGCTAAAGGAGGAAAAGTATTTAGCTCACAGTTTGTAGAGGTTTCAGTCCATAATCCAAGGCAAGGCATCACGGCAAACAGGCATCGCAGAGGAGAAACAGTCCATGGCAGGCAGAAGGTAGCAAAGCAAGCAAGGGACAAGACAAGCCTCTTTCTGTTCCTTATATTGTCTCCAGGCTACCAGGATTAGGGAGGTGCCAAACCAGTCAGTGGACTGATTCAGTAATCACCCACCCTTAATCCCAGCACCCTTAAGCCTAGCACTGCACCATGAATCAATCACACTCTCTAGATTCAGCCACTTCCAAAAAAGCATCACCTATGACTGCATGAGGCTTTAGGGGCACATCTAGATGCAAGTCATAACATCCCACTCCTGGCCCCCAAGACTCATGCACATCCCTTTATGCAAAAGACACTTAGTCTGTCTCCAAGAGCTGCCAAAGTCCCAACGGTTTCAGCACTGCTGAGAAGTCCAAGTCCCAAGTCTCCTCTGAGATTGAAGGCAGACTCTTATCTGTGAGCCCCTGTAGAAATGAAAAGAAAGTTAAACACTTCCAACAAGATACACATTTCCACTCCAAAAGGTACAAACAAAGGGATAGAAAGGAATGGGAACGAAGCAAGTCCAAAGTCCATCAGGGCAAACGTTAGGTCCTGTAGTTCCATGTCCAGCATCCCTGGCAATCTGTGGCAAGTTGTGAACTCCAAAAGCCTTGGGTGGCTCTGCCCCTGTGGCACTGTTGTGGTTGTAGCTCCCAAGGCTTCTCTCTTGGGCCGGCTCTGCTCCCTCCTTGCAGTTTTCCCCAGATGATCCACATTCCTGGCTTCTTTAAACTTCTGGGGTCTCCACAGAACCTTTAGCTTCACATTCATAGCTTTACCACTGCCTTCAAAGGGGCACGCTGCCCGGCCTCCCAGGCCTCCTTCTGAAATCTGGGTGGAAGCCTTCCTGACCCCACCACTCCTGCATTCTGCATGCACCTAAAACCAGCGCCACGTGGATGATGCCAAGGTCTGCTGCCAGCTGTAGCTGTAGCCAGGCTTCCTTCTCTCTCAGCTGAAGGGGTTGAGTGCCTATGAACCAAATCCTAAGAAACAACTTTCCTAGGGCACTCCCATACTGGAACGTGGTGCTCTGGGGCTCTCTTCTCAAAGCAAAATCTTTCACCTTTGCAACTCTGAGGCCACAAAGGCTGGAGTCCTGCTGGTTCTCGTGATGTCCTCAGGCCATCTTTCCTGTTGTCTTCTGAAATACTTGGCTTTTCCTTGCTAGTCTTTTCAGCCACCAATTGCTCCTCTGTTCCATCTTTGCAGGCTGCAACTTTATTGGAGCTTCCTTTCTGGCCAACCTCACAACTTTTTAAACCATTCTGCTGGGCTCTTTGCTCTTCATTCTCAACATAAGTCTGGTGAAAAGCCCCCAACAGTACCCATGCCACCGCCTCAACATTAGCCTGCCTTGAAATTTCTTTTGCAAGATTAGTCAGTCTGTTGCCCTTAACCTCAGTCTCAGGCGGTCTCTGGATGTGAACCAACTTTCTGCCAGGCCACATCATGCGTTACCTGGAGGCCAGCAGCCAGTGCAGCCCTTCTTCCCAGCAGGAACCTCCCAAGCCCGGTCTTTACCGGCAGCATTTCTAACAGCCTTCTGGACTTCTGAGCTCTGACCAGAACCTCACAGGAAGTACAGCCTCAGGCTTTCCAGGGCTGCTTCTTCAGCCGGCATCTCCTAACCTTTCCAAATTCTTCCCACAAGACAGCTCCAAAGGCTCCTGAACCACATGATCAGGTAACACCACAGCAATGACCCCACTTCCCTGGTACCAAATTCTGTCTTAGTTTCTTCTCTCCTTGCTGAGACAAAATACCCAAGGCCCAAAGTTCAAGGAGGAAAGGTTTATTTAGCTCACAGTTTGTAGAGCTTTCAGTCCAGTCAGCTGGCCTCGAGGAAGGGTGGATGGCAGAGGGGTGTCACAGAGGAGAAACAGTCCATGTCAGGACCTTAACAGCGTCTCTCTGCCCCTTCTACACTGCATCTAGGCTACAGGGATCAGGGTGGTGCCAAACCAATCCATGGACTGATTTAGTCAACCCCCACCTTAATCCCAGCATCATACCCTGGGTCCAGCCACCTCTGAAAAAGCCCCACCTATGACTGCATGAGGCTGTGGGGGACATCTAGGCCCAAGCCACTACACCCCTCCCTGCCGAAATGTTTGTATCAGTGAGCAATGCAAGCAACAATATTGTTGCTATCCCTTTGGATTTCTTCTGTTACTAGTGAGGTTGAATTTTTCCACATTTGTGCGTAATAAATATCTTTCCTGCTTTATCATACTGTCCATTCTCTGCAGGGCCTTCCTCCTTGATTCATAAACAATCCCGGATTGGGGGCAGTAGCTTCGCCGCTTGTTGCAGTGCATCTCCTTGACGGGTGTGTGTCCTCATGCAGATTCATAACGGAATTGAGGCCATCGCGGGGACCGAACTCAGGTCGCTTTT